TATTTCATTTTCTGTTCCTCACTTCTGATTACCTTCAATGGTGTCTGTTTGTTGCAACCACCAGGTACAAAAACTAACTTGTTTTTATTTGACTATTTTTCTGTCCTGCCTGTTTATTATCTTCCTGCATCTCCTCTCAATCCTAAAGAAAAACTGCTACCTGGGTTCATATATATTCACCTTATGAGTTACCTTTGAACTGCAGTTCTAAAAGATCTACCGACCGCAAAAACAGCGGAGTGTGTGCTGCTCGCCGGCCGCAGTGCGTCAGCGGAGGACCAAACAGATGATGCGCCCCGCTCCACAGCAGCGGGGTGCATCAGGCAAAAATAAAAGACAGACAACATAAAAGGAAATGAGCCGACATGAACGATCGCGTTACATTTGTTTTTGAGGTGGTGACACCTGATTTGATAATGTTACTGTGGCCGTGCTCAGGACGCAGATGTCTGGAGCGCGTCAACGATCAGAGCTTTGCATGCACAAGCTGGTTAAGGTTAGGATGGGGGTGAGGGGAATGTTAAATTGCAAGAGGTAAAAGGTCACAATTTGGTTAAATGTCCGTTTTACGGCGGGTGTCAGTACCGACGCTCTGGCACAGCGCGTCGCCTCCGCCTCGATCCAGACGCACAGGGGCTCGTCACCTGCTGTCTTTTCCGAGGACTGCATCTTGTCATTATCACGTGACAGCGACTAGTTGATGACAGGCATAAAAAGTCACAACAGAGCAGTGAGGTCGACTAGTCAACTAGTCGACTAGTTCATACAACCCCTATTGAGAAGCACCTTTGGGGGTTGTAGATCCCTTAGAAGGTGCTCTACACATACAGGTTATTTACCATAAAACGTGCTGGATGCAGCCCTCCAGGACTGGAATACCCCTGCCCTAGTGGATGAGGGGAGAACTGCAGTTTTGTCACTTCCTGGTTGACTTCCCATTTTATCCTTTGATCAGAACCGAACGGGGTTCTTTAGGTCTTCATGTGATAAGGTTGGTCTGGTTCTGGTCAAATGTCAGGGGTCAGCTGCACTGAGCACGCTCAGAACGAGGGGTGGAATCAGAAACTAGATGCAGTTTGTTGGTTTTTAATTACGGTTTTAAAACTGAACTGGATCTGAACTTGGCCAAACCCGTGTCTGTGGATCTGAACCGGACCTTTTTCTTTCTGCTCCTTGAGGAGATTTAGTGTTGAATTAAAGGAAAACTAAAGTGAAACCTTTATTTCCAAGCAGATCAACTTCCTGGTGTGTTTAAACCAGTCGGTTAGCTCCAAGCTTGTCGGCTTCTACAGGAACAGGAACAATCTGATCCAGTTTAACCAGTTAACCTTCACCTTAACCCATAGCTATGTGGGTTCATTTAAAAGTTGTCTAATCCCAGATTAAATGAAATCTCTGGTCAGAAGGGATCCAGTAAGGTTTAGTTTGAGGCAGCAAAAGAAATCAGTCTGACTTGTGATGAAATGAGATTATTACAGTTTAATTAATGACCATAGACCTAAGATCCACATCGAGTATGAATCCCATCTAATGGACACTGGGTTATTCAAACCAGAAGATTGGATCTTTTTATTGCAGAGATTAGATAACTGTTACGTATTTACTCAGAGACAACAGAATAGAGAGAGACAAGTTTAAAAGTTAAGAATTTTATTACTAACAAATTAAACTAGACTGACTTCAAAACTAAATGTATAGTGTAACTAAAAATGGATGAGGCGATGAATGGATGACGTGTGCTGTAAATCAGAACCAGCCAATCCGAAGAAGCGGTTAGTTCTGACGGAAACTGAAGATGTTGTTTTGCATTAAGCCTTGGTTAACTTCAGGAAAAACACATGAGACGCCATTTGCCGGTCTACCGTGCCTTGTGGAAGTCCTCTGTAGATCAGGAATATCGAGGTCCAGTGAACCCTCTCTGGAAACCGAGCCGGTAGGAGAAGCCGCGGTTCCGATCAAACCCGTCTTGAGTTACTTTCGGCACACGACACTTTTATTGGCGTCTGGTCAGACCCAAGCCTGGGTCGGTGGATGGAGCTTTCATTCTGAAAGCAGCTGTTGTTGCCGCTGGTTGTTATAGCGACTGGATTTCTCAGCTTGTCATTGGTTCTTTCGGTTAAAGAGTTTAGGTCAGGATTGACCACTCCGTCACTTCCTCTGGAACACTTTGAACTGGCGTTAAGAGATGACGTGGCGTAGTTTTATACTTCGGATGTTATGGTTTATTGTCGAATGAAAATGACCAAACACCATCAAAACCACGCCTCCGTCAGATCTGTAAGATTCTGATTAGATCAGTGAAAGTAATGTGTTATGTCTTTTTAACACTACATGAAATGAGTCCTGTTGGAACACTTAAAGTCACAATACTTATATTCTATAGGATCATAATAAAGTAATTAATATTTTGATTTCACAGGTCGGTCACATCTCATTTATTGACTAACACTTGGTTGGATTAGCTTCATTAAAATAGAGTTCTTTGATTACTTAAAAGAAAAGAGTTCATTCTTCATTCTTCTGTTGAGCTGAAAATGAGCAGGTTAGAAGGAATGCATGAGACCTTGAGTTATATCTCATGCAGACTAGTCCTGAGTAAAGAAGGGAAAATAAGAGTCATTCTGTTCGTTACAGACTTTTAGTTTGGACCCCCCCCCCCCCCCTATTTCCAAGCAGATCAACTTCCGAGTGTGTTTAAACCAGTCGGTTAGCTCCAAGCTTGTCGGCTTCTACGGGAACAGGAACAATCTGATCCAGTTTAACCAGTTAACCTTCACCTTAACCCATAGCTATGTGGGTTCATTTAAAAGTTGTCTAATCCCAGATTAAATCAAATCTCTGGTCAGAAGGGATCCAGTAAGGTTCAGTTTGAGGCAGCAAAAGAAATCAGTCTGACTTTTAGTTTGAACCCAATAACCCCCCCCCCCCCCCCCCCCGCGCCAACAGCTGACTCACCTGGAACATGTGACTTAACCGAAAGTTACTTCATGAAGAGATTTTACACATTTGAGCATCAGACGAGAGCTCAGAAACACGATAAACCAGCTGAAGAAAACTCAGATCCTAAACCAGATCAGATTCGGCTGCTGGAACACAAGAAGCTGAATAACAGAGTCCAGAATGTAAAACAGCAGCAGTCACACAGCTGAAGGTCTCAGTGATGATTGACTGAAACGAGACACAGAAGGACGATCGCTGATCAAGTGGATTCACATCAAGAGCTAATCTTTGGATTGTTCTCTGATTGGGGAGGAAAGTGTCAGCTCCCGACTATAACACCCTTTTCTTGTGCTTTTGTTTTCCGTCAGTAATAAACGCACCTCCAACACACGAACACGCTCCCATTATCAGGTTTAGCATATACGGAAGAACTGCTCAGATATCAGACCAGATCAGAGGACTTGGCTTCAGGAAGTCATATAACAGCTGTCTGTCGTGTTGGCTAACCCCTCCTTACTGTCGAAGGCTGCAGGTAAAAATTACTCAAGTGACTTTTGATCTGGCCTCTGAGCAAATCCAGCAAACACAAAATCAGACACCTGAAGCCGAGGCAGCAGAAGGCTGAGTGTTTGTGCCCGAATCTGGACCACAGCTTTAGCTCTACATTAATCCAGGTAACCGGCTGCTGCCCGTCTGGTTTGCTCCTAACTCGTGACCCGGACTCACAAACGTCATCATTATGTGCAAGTAAACATTCAAATAAAGCAAACAGCAGAGAAGTGTTTGGTTTATTCACCTGGACCTCCCTGCTGGGTCAACACTCAGCTCAACCTACTCCAGGATGTTTACGAGTGCCGGGTCACACCTGAGCAGGACCTGTTTCCTCGCCTGTCCTCTCTCACCTGACCCCGTCAAGACTCCAGAGGTCAGGCTCAGATCAGGTTGGATTGCTGCCAACAGGAAGGAGTAACATGTTCCCTGATGTCCTCAATAAAGCACAGGAGGTAACCGATTTTCTGGAAGTCTCAGGTGAACGACCTGAAGAAACGTCAAAGGAAGTTTTAGTCTCACTTCAGGTGAATTTTATTGTCTCCCAGAACTCACCTGCAGGTTCGCCTGAATCAGACAGAAATAAAACAACTCAAAGTTAATTCGTGGTCAAAGAGAATAAAAGAAAATCATTCCATCCCACAAACAGAGAATTATACTTTTTTCATATACACCCCCCTCCACACACACACACGTGCACACACACACACACACACACACACACGCACGCACATATGCACACACACACACACACACACACACACACACATGCACAAACACGCACGTACGCACACACACACGCACGCACACACACACGCACGCACGCACACACACACAAACACACGCACACACACACGCACACACACACACATATGCACAAACACACATGCACACAAACACACACACGCACACACATGCACACACACATGCACACACACACACACATATGCATGCACACACACACAGACATGCATGTACACACACAGACATGCATGCACACACACACGCACAGACACACAGACATGCATGCACACACACACACACACACACACACAGACGTGCATGCACACACGCACATGCATGCACACACGCACACACACACACACACACACACAGACATGCATTCACACACGCACATGCATGCACACACACATGCACACATATATGCATGCACACACACACACGCATGCACACACACATATGCATGTACACACAGACAGACATGCATGCACACACGCGCACACACACACACAGACAGACATGTATGCACAAACGCACGCACACACTCAGCTTGGTGTGACTCCTCCCTCAGAGCCTTTTGCTGTACTAGTTTTGCTCTCAGGATTCGGATCCAGTGTGTTATGGGCACATCAACAGCTGACCTTCACTTTTGACTTTTAACCCTTGAAAACAGGATTTCCCAGAGGAAATCTGAGTTTGAGCTTTATTTTTGAAAATTTAACCGGAAGTTGAACTGGTTGGCCTGACAACGGAGGAGGGGTGAGGGGCGTGACCAGGCAGCAGACCAATAAGAGGACAGGTAGCAACAGGTGAGCAGTAGAAACGCACCTGACCTGCTCACCTGCAACACAACACCGAGGCGGAGGCGAGCGCGGCTCACGGTACTCCTGGGACTTTATATCCGGACCGAAGGGACCGGAAACCGGAGAAGCGAGGACCATTTGACCACCCCGTTTGGACCGAACAGACGAGAGTTTGCGTCGGAGGCTGTGAGGAGTTTCTGCCTGGACTCGGATTATCCGGTCCACATAATCCGGGTTATGACAATGCGTTCAGCGTCCGGTACCGGCACAAGCCACTAGTTCAGTTGCGTTCCGTTTTTATATAAGTGTGACTGGATTCGGTTCGGGTCCTGGTTCTGGTCCCCGCATCAGCATGGAGGCCTTGAGGCAGTTCGGTAAGAAGCCGCAGGGGAAGCTCGCCTCCCGGCTGGAGGAGGTGAAGAGCCCGTGGCGGCAGGGCTCCGCGCTGGAGCTGAGCCACAACGAGGCGGCCCGGCTGGCCACAGACGCGCTACTGGAGCACGGAGAGAAGGAGTACCGGCGGGTCCTGACGGACGAGCGGGAGCTGAACTTCCTCTCACAGCCCGAGATCCGGTACATCACTCAGTACGCAGCCAGCAGAAGCTGCGGTTCCGACAGCAACCCCAACGACCGGGACTTCGGGGACGGAGACGCCGTGTCCGAGCTGACCTCCGGGACCTACTTCCCCATGATGTCCGACGAGGATCCGCCGATGCTGGAGCTCGGCTGGCCGGACTCTGTGACAAAGGTCGGACCGTCAGAGAGCAAGATCTACTTCCAGAGGGACAAGTCCCAGAACATCAAAGACCTGATCCGAAACCTGATCAACAGGGCTAAGAAGGTTCAACCTCATTTAACCTCAAACATGATTTATTATCCTTCAGATCTCAACAGGAGCTGAACCACTATTTATCTTTGTCTGCTTCATGAAACTTGTGCTGTTTAACCTGATAAATGACTTCCTGTTTATGTAAACCACTTCCTGCGTAAATCAACAGGCTTCCAGGTTACAGTCCCATAGTCATCCGAAGCTGCAGCTGTGGCTGTGCTCGGGAACCCCCAATCCAACCGCTCAAGCAGGGCGTCGGGTCCCATTGTTACGGTTTTGGTATGACCCGAGAGTGGATTTACACCCATAACCTTCCAGTGTCAGGGCCGGCACTCAGCCACTGCGTTTGTTTCAGCTGATGTTTCATCCATCAGTGGCAAACGTTTCAGGTCTCTATGGCAAACAGGTTAGGTTTAGACCTTTATTTGTTTACCGCTCTCTCAGGGTTAGGGCAGGGGTGTCCAATCCTGGTCCTGGAGGGCCGGTATCCAGCAGGTTTTGTGGTTTTTCTGCTCCAACAGGCTTGATTCAGTGGTTGAAACATCTGTGCAGCAGCTCTTCAGGCTCTGCAGAAGCCTGTTAATTAGCTGCTGATTGAAATAAAGTGTGTTGAAACAGAGTTCAAACTAAAACATTATTTATTTATTTACTTAGCAGATGCTTTTATCCAAAGCGACTTACAATTTCTGACCTATAGGGCATGTTGTGAACATGCAGGATACCGGCCCTCCAGGACCAGGATTGGACACCCCTGGGTTAGGGTTCTATAACCTCCCAAGTCGCTTCACATCCACACACATGGTTCAGCCTCCACTAGCTCAGACGTTTACTGCTTGGCTGATTTTTGCAGCTGCTTTTAGGAAGAAAGTAAAATGCATTTAGCTTCATGTTCAGAGCAGGAAACACAGACGGGTGGAAAGGACTGAAGTAAACTTCCCTCCTTGTGTCTCTGCTGCAGCCGTGATTATGAGAATAATTCTATAATTGTCTGACTCTGGAGCACTGGAACGACGAGTTCACATGACAATAATATATTAACTTAAGCCCGGGACAAGTTGTGTGATAGTCGCAACACCACGCAGGACTTGGGAACAGGGAGTGGGAAGTGACTATTGTTTATATATGATCAGACTTGCTGTTGGGTTTTGAGACAAATTCGTTAAAACGGGTAAGTATGCTGTTTATTAGAATATTTAAAGATCAATAGTACTTTAAAATTGTCAACTGTGGCCGGGTTTGTGCCGTAAAATCTGTGGTAAAGTACTCCACATCTGTGGTAAAGTACTCCACAATGTTGTAAACAGCCGCAGCGCTTGAGATGGAGCTGGCGCCTATCTTCAGCGCTTCGGCGCTCTCTGTGTAGCCACTTACGCTAACCCAAACCCAACTATAATGGCTTCTATCTAAAATGACAGTGGGGCGTGGCACGTCTGTCTCCGGTGTGCCCTGGGCTTAAGTCAGCAGCTGTCAGATTCATTGTTTCTTTCAGCATGCTGCATGAATTTGTCCCTGGAATCCAGCGAGATCACCATGGTAACCACTGGTGTCTTGTTAGAGATCACCATGGTAACCACTGGTGTCTTGTTAGAGATCACCATGGTAACCACCGGTGTCTCGTTAGAGATCACCATAGTACCCACCAGTGTCTTGTTAGAGATCACCATAGTAACCACCGATGTGTCCTTAGATTACCATAGTACCCATAGGTGTCTCGTTAGAGATCACCATAGTACCCACCGGTGTCTCGTTAGAGATCACCATAGTAACCACCGGTGTCTTGTTAGAGATCACCATAGTAACCACCGATGTGTCCTTAGATTACCATAGTAGCCACCGGTGTCTCGTTAGAGATCACCATAGTACCCACCGATGTGTCCTTAGATTACCATAGTAGCCACCGGTGTCTTATTAGAGATCACCATAGTAACCACCGGGTCTCGTTAGAGATTACCATAGTAACCACTGGTGCCTTGTTAGAGATCACCATAGTAACCACCGGTGTCTTGTTAGAGATCACCATAGTAACCACAGATGTGTCGTTGGATTACCATAGTACCCACCGGTGTCTCTTAGAGATCACCATAGTACCCACCGGTGTCTCTTAGAGATCACCATAGTAGCCACCGGTGTCTCTTAGAGATCACCATAGTAGCCACCGGTGTCTCGTTAGAGGTCACCATAGTAACCACCGGTGTCTCGTTAGAGGTCACCATAGTAACCACCGGTTTTTTGTTAAAGATCACTATAGTAACCACCGGTGTCTTGTTAAAAGATCACCATAGTAACCACCGGTGTATTATGACCGTTACACAGTAGCATCGACGCCACTCCGCCTACACCGGGTTGGGAGTGTTCTCATTTAGGTAGCCGTGGATTTTCCCGTGTGCAACCAGACGTTTTTTCAGTCCTCTTCTTGTAGCGGTCTGCCTGGAGCAGAACAGGGCCAACACGCTCTCTGCTGGCTGATTGGCTGGCTCAAAATCATGCATGCCATTAGGCACCTGAGCTACAGAACTTCGAAGGGGGTGGGGCTTTCTTTTTCACCTGTCTCACCTAAATTCCTTAGTTGTCTTTGAGGACATGTTTAATTTGGTCTCTAAGGATGTTCTGCTGCTGGAAGTCGGACTCCATAATTGCTTGTTCAGCTTCTGTCATACCTACTATCATTTATAACCCGGGCCCGGATGTTGGCATGGGCAAGGAGGGGCAATGACCCCCTAAAAATACTGACTACCCCCCAAATGTGATGACATGTAAAAATCCCAAATTTGAAAAGATTTGATGAAAAAGGGTCAGAGTTCTCTCTCTCTCTCTCTCTCTCTCTCTCTCTCTCTCTCTCTCTCTCTCTCTCTCTCTCTCTCTCTCTCTCTCTCTCTCTCTCTCTCTCTCTCTCTCTCTCTCTCTCTCTCTCTCTCTCTCTCTCATTCAAAGTAGATGCGTAGGGAGGGTGTGGCCAGCCACTGCACTTAGTTCTCTGTTGTGTCACTCGCTTCACAGTTTACACGCTCCCAGTCAGCAGCAGAACACAGAGACGCGCCGTTGTTATCTGAGCTCGGCAGCCACTGGTTGAAGTTTTCTTCTGCTGTCGGTCACTGGAATAATTTGCTTACTCTTTTTCATGGTTTTAGTTTGCCTCGTTCTTTCATTTGTTTTTGAAGTGAAACAAGTCGACATGCATAGCACTCTCGAGCATCTCTCTGGCTCAGGCTATAGTGCAGCTGAAATGATCAGTCAGTGCTATGATGGAGCTTATGTCATGAGTGGGGTCAGGGGTGGGGTTCAGGCCTTACTGCAGAAGAAGGTAGGGAAGGATATTCCCTACATCCACTGCTACAACCACCAGCTGCACTTGGCAGTGGTCCATGCAATGCAGGCAGAGCCATGTGCAAAAACCTTTTTTGATCTTTCAGGATCTCTACACTCATTTTTCCACCGTCATTATGTTTCACAGAACTATGACGTTCCCTCCCTGAAACGACTGTTGGCGATCAGGTGGACAAGCCACCATGATGTGACCAAGTGCCTTGTGGAGAATCAGGATGCTATTATGAGTATCCTGTCAGAGGTTACAGAGGACAGAGCTGCTGCTGTTGATATCTGTACAGAGGCATCAGGACTGTTGGGGAAGTTAAGGAGGCACAATTTCTTTGAAATAGGAAAATTCCTCCTAAAAGTTCTGGGTTCCTTGAAGTCTGCAAATTCTATGCTGCAGTCTCACTCTGTTGACCTGTGCTGTGCTTCAGAGGTAGTCAGTGCATCTCTGCAGGCTTTGTAGCAGATGAGAGAGGAGGAAAGTGAGACATTAACCAGCACACCTGCACCAGCTGCTAAAAGACAAAGAAAAACAAGCTCACTGCTAACAGGTAGTGTTGTAATGTCCACTGTGGGCCACGCAGAAGACTCCACAACTCCTAGCCAGGCTCTGAAGAGAGCTTTTCTCAACATTTTGGACCTAGTCATTGTAGAGATGGAGACAAGATTCTCCAAAAGCAATCTCGATCTCATGAAAGCAGTTAACTGCCTTCAACCTCAGTCTCCCTCTCTTCTGGATCCTGACATGTGAAGTCCTGTGCAGAAAATGACAGGAAGTGACAAAGCTTCCACAGAGATTCTTGTTGCAAAAATAATGTTGGAGAAAGAATTCAAAAAGACTGATGATGATATCTCACGAGAAGGCCATAACAACAGGCCTAGATATGGATGGATTTGTTTGGACTTTTGCACAGAAAAGCAGACGGCTGTTGCTGTAATGACTGATAAAAGCCATAAAGAAATAAAAACAACAAAAATTCTAAAAAAAAAATGGAAGGATAGACAGATAAGATAGATAAAATAGATTAAAGACATAAAAAAGATAAGAAACATTAAGAAAAATGATAGATAGATAGATAGAAAACAATAGGGAACAAACCAGTGCCCCATATGTGCCAGTCCCAAGCCCGAGTAAATGCAGAGGGTAGTGTAAGGAATGGATCAAAGAAAAAGATAGATATATGGATAGAAGAACTGTAATGATGATAGCATAGTTTTCTATGCATTTTAGGGATTTGTGGGTATGTGACACCCGAAAAATTATTTCCCAGACCTGCACCCCCTGATAATCTACCTGCCCCCCTTTGTAAGGCTGGCTAAGTCCGGCCCTGTTATAACCTAGCTTTATTGTTTTATTCCAAATTACACGATGAGTGTAAAAGTGCAGTTGGTCCCTCACGAGGGCTCCAAACGAAGAGGAAACAAGAAGATGTTTAGTTTGAATTTATTCAGCGAGTTTTTTAGAGTCATTTAGTTTTGGTTCTGGTTTGTCAAATTAGATTTTTGATCTGCGTTTTTCAATCTAGTTCTGGTAAATGACTTGTGTTTGGATTGAAGAATGGATGGATAGATTGATGGATGAATAGATGGATGGATGGACGGATGGATAGATGGATGGATATATGAATAGATGGATGGATGGATGATAGATACATGGGTGGATGGATGGATGAATAGATGGATAGATGAATGGATGGATAGATAAATGGACTGTTGGATGGATGAATAGATGGATGGATGTATTTATTGATCCCAGGCTGGGTAATCGCAGTGTAGCAGCAGCATGACTCTCAGTAGGACCGTTAAGAACAACAACAATATAAAAAGTATAAAACATGAAAAATGGACTGACTGAATATTATGAAGCAGAATTTAGTTGTTGCTGTTGTTGCTGTTGTACAATGTGATATCACATGGGGGGAAAGACTTCCTGTGTCTTTCCCTTCGACATAGCGCCTTCTAGGGTGCTACAACCCCCCAAGGCACTTTACTACTGAACTTTCACCCATTTACAGGCTGCTGATGATTAGCTACATTGTAGCCACAGCTTCCCGGGGACACCACCAGCAGGCAGGGTGAGTGGGGTTCTGCAACCCTACAGTTATTGGGCGCCTCAGAAGTTCTGTGGTTGATGTGCAGGTCACATGACCCTGTGACATCACGTTTAATCTGACCTTGAACCTCTGAGGTAAAAATCAGCTGACCGCTGGTTCAGTGGGTTTGTTTGCAGACAGTCCAGCACTCGCTGCGCGTGATTCACTTCCTCCTTCTGGCTCTATAAATATTCCTGATAAATGTGCAGAAGTCTGAGCAGATTTCCTGCAAACCTGCTAAGATGTTTGTCAGCAGCTTTGAGATTGTGCAGACAATGATCTCGTATCACCAGATTCAGGTGGACTTTGACCTCTCAGACCAGAGAAGCTGCAGCTAGAGCCTGCCGAGCTGGATTCACTCAGCCGGTGTTGACTCTGCTATCAGCTCGTCTCAGATTCAACCATCCAGGGTGTAGCGATAAATATGAATTTACATTTATATTTATCAAATGTGGTGTAGACTTGGCTTGTCTTCGTCGTTTATAATTTTATATTAAATAACTCGGGGCACCACCCAGTTTTGTCTGAGTGAACTGGGGCACTGGATTTAATATTTATATCTTCTCACTATTAGGGTTGTCACGGTGTGAAAATTTAACCTCACGGTTATTGTGACCAAAATTATCACGGTTTATGGTATTATCGCGGTATTTTTTTAAACATGTTAAATTTTCAGGAAACTAAATAAACCCTGTATATTTGGAAAATATTGTCCTCAGTTTGTGTCTAAATTTTGCCTAAAATTTATTATTTTGTAATTATGTTTATTTGATTACATTTTTTCTTTTAGTCTTTAAAATACCAATATTTGCCCATAACTTCTTATTTTTTGTCTGTTTGATGTCATCATTTAAAAAATATTAGAACAGATGATACTCAGTACTCAAGTAGCCTTCTAATCAGATACTTTTTTACCCTTACTTGAGTAATAAACCCTAAATCAGGAAAATATTGTCCTCGGTTTGTGTCCTTCCATTGAGCTTTGCAGATTTGGGAAAATGTCATCAGGCAGTAATCATTGTTAAATTCATAATTATTCTCGGAGAGAGACAAACTCTTATCTGCCCCTGGGAGCCCCGTAATGCATAGCGTCATTTCAACATGGGGGTGTCCGCGACACGGTTTATATGCAGGTAGCGGCGCTGCGGCTGCTTTATATAGCCACTCGTTGCCTTCTCCCTCCACCCAAATCCTCGGATCACGCATTTTAGCTAAAACGCTAACGTTAACTTGCCTTGCGTTGACTGTAGAGTTGTGGGTGATGGTCACGCAGATGTGTCATGAGATTTGAAGTGTTGCTGCCTTTCACAGACACTTTTTCTGCACGTGCCGCAAACAGGATAGCCGTCTTCTATCAACTGTCCCTCGGCATTCTTCAAATATCCAAAAAATGTCCGTACTTCCCACTTTGTCTTCTTTGAGGGATAATAAATGTCCTCCTGAGCGCTGCCGTCTCCTCTTTTGGCCATTATTTCAGCTTTAGCTTCAAGAAAGTTTTGGTTGTAAACATCAAAGTGCGCATGTGCCGCCGGCAACGTCAGCAGATGATACGGTGGCTGGTAAGTAGGGCTGGGGGTAAACGATTATTTTTAAAACGATTATTCTGACGATTATTTTATCGAATAGTCGACTATTCTAATGACTATTTAGAAAATTAATCTAATGATTATTTTTCTATTGCACAATTAACAAAAACCAGAAAATCTCAAATAAATTCCTCAAAAAAATTGATAAATTCTTACTGTAAGAGAATAAACACTACAGGCCTTCCATTTTGTATAACACTGCGTTTATTGTGTTGGTTGGTTATGTTCTGATGACGTGTAGAACTTGGGAGTGCAGGCTGCTGCCTGAGAGGTGGTAGAAGTCGGAGTGTCTCCATGCTGCTTTGTTTTGGTCACTTATGTGCGTGAGGCGAGTGGTCTTACGGGTTAAACCAAACTCAAGGTGATATTATACACTAAACCGAAAACCCACAACACTCTAAATGTAATAAAAGGGAGATCTACACCACAAAAAAGATGAACTCTAAACCAAAACGTAACAGCTTATCCCAACGCAAGAAGCTGTTAGCGAATATGCTAACAGTAGCTTAAACCAAAAACACCCAGCAGCAAACAGACCAGCATGGAGGAGAGACTGCTACCACCAAAACAGCTCTCCTCATGTCTGAAAGAAGCTCCTTAATGAAGGGAGAAGCGCTCCCGGTGATTTTCTACATCTGCGGTAGGTACGAAGCAGCGCATCTGACCCCGGAAGTTGTTGTCCGTTGCCGGGAGACGAAGGGGCCAAACAGGAAAATAATCTAGTATTGGACGGACGTTGTTCCGGGTCTTCGGTATTTGGCGGAGATGTTAGTGAAGGCGGAGAAGAGGGCGAACTAGAGGAAAAACAGGCAGATTCCTCCTCTATTTACAAACTCCTGGGGATGCAACAAGTGGGCGCGGTGCGTCGACTTCCGGATCTGACGTCGACAAATTTTTAGAATCGAGCCGTCGACTTCGTCGAGGCTTCGCTACAGCCCTACTGGTAAGGGTCACCGCGCCTACACCGCAGCCACGGTAATCCACCGAGATAATATAGTTTTTTTTTAAAACAAGACGGTTATTATTATTGTCAACTTTATTTACCTGGGTTTACCACTACACCGGATTTTAATCTGAAAGCTGAATTCTTGTCAGAATGCGCCGGCTATTCTCGAGATCTCTAGTCAATGATCAGGCATGATTAAAGTTTTTTGAATTTATTACAAACATCAGTTACATTGACAAAAAGACCAAACACATTTATAGTTTCTTGCATGAGAGTAAGTAGATGGATAAACCCAAGGTTTTATGGCAGTGCTATGATATACCGATCTGTAATAAAGTGAAAATTTAGTGACACATAGGGTTATAGTAAATATTAGGAATAATTTCTGTAAGGAGAGCAAGTGAAAATGTGTGTGGGTGTGTGCATGTCCAGGAGGGGCGTAGATGCAAATGAGGGTGTGTGTGTGTGTGTATGTGTGTTCGTGTGGCTCGTTATGGCAGAAGAAGAAAGGAGATCTTGAGGGCTAAACGTGAATTTCGGATAAAAAAAAAACATGCCATAAAAGAAATGGACAAATCTGAATTCACTTATCGGGCTTAGCACAAAAGTCAGCCAGATGAGATGCTTCACAGACCTTATTCCGTCGCCAAAGAGGTGTCCTGGGGGGCTGGCTCAGCCGGGTCCAGAAGTTTGAATGCGGCCTTCAGGGGCCGTAGGACCTTTTGGCACCTCAGCTTAGGTCAACGGCGTCTGTGGTATGTAGAAGGAGGTGTTCTCCCGTAGTGGCTTGACTCAAGGTTCCTTCACTTCTGCTGCACCGAAAATGTGGAATTCAGAGCGCGAGGCCAAATTATCAAAACCGATGCTGATCAGAAAAACTGCTCCAAATTAGTTTTAACTCTCAATGTGAAAACTCGACAGGACCAGGCCGACTTCCGGTTTCACGTAGGAAGTCAAACTAAACTAAACGGAACTGCTTCTGAGTTTTACCGTAACTTTTGAGAGCTAATTACTTGACAACTGTAAAGCTCCGGGTTCTGCTAGGCCAGATGGAAACAGCCGCAGGGATGTGCTTAAGGCGTCCTTTGTTCTTAAACTGCCGCCACGAGGTTCGGATGGGTTCTTATATAATTTTGGGCACGCCCAACTGTATCTTACTCAAAAACCACTGGAGGGCACTGTGGCTCTTCCAAACAAACAAGATGAAAATCCATGATCACAATAAAACCTCAAAAAGTATTAGTTTAGCATCAAAGTATTAGTTTAGCATCAAAGTATTACTTTAAACGGGAAAGAATAAAAGTCATGTCTTAAAACTGAACAGTTTTATCATTAGCATGAATTTTAACTGGAGAAAAACCAAATGACAGAAGTTTAACATAAAAGAAAACCCAAAACAAACAGTTTAGGTTGGTGGCTGATAAGATTTTAATTTGGAGCACCTTGATTTCTATTTTAAGGGTGAACAACCTAAACACCTTCTTTGATTATAGGTAGAAAAAACACCAGGGTTTTGATAAAAGAGAGATCCTGGAATCTTCCAGAATGACCCTTGAGAAGTTTTACGAGCACCCGGCCTTGGGGGAAAGAGTCAGTTATTGGCAGGTTGAGGTAAGACAAACCAAGTCCTGATCATGTCCGGCTTAACAAGTCACTTGGTAAAATTTACATTCGTGGGAGAAAATGTAGGAGTTAACCAGACAGTCAGGATCTTAGAGTTCAATCCAGTTCTGTCAGATTAACCAGTACGTCAGACTGGTGCCAGCCCTCCAAACCAGAATGGCTTTAGAGAGGTGGCACTAAAACAAGTTCCTCTGAAACATGACTGGTCTGGGTTCAGGTCCAGGTCTTGGTTTAGGTTCTGGACTAGAAGAGAAGTTCTGGCTGTGTCTCCAGGTGATCGCGCTGGTGATGGACATGTTCACTGATGTGGACCTGCTGTGTGACCTCATGGAGGCGTCTAACAAGCGGAGGGTCCCCGTCTATGTCCTGCTGGATGATAAGAACCTCAGTCACTTCACTGACATGTGTTCAGCGCTGGACATTCAGAGCTCACACCTGAGTGTAAGTACCACCCAGGAGAACCGGTTCTGTTGCAGTGATGAGTGATGGTTTCATAGGTCAGAGCAGCTGGATACCTTCAGAGTCTTTAGTTTAATCCAGTCGATGTCAGGACACAAGAGACCGATTCAGATGTTTGAGGTTCTTCAGCCTTCTGTCGTGTGTGTGTGTGTGTGTGTGTGTGTGTGTGTGTGTGTGTGTGTGTGTGTGTGTGTGTGTGTGTGTGTGTGTGTGTGTGTGTGTGTGTGTGTGTGTGTGTGTGTGTGTGTGTGTGTGTGTGTGTGTGTGTGTGTGTGTGTGTGTGTGTGTGTGTGTGTGTGTGTGTGTGTGTGTGTGTGTGTGTGTGTGTGTGTGTGTGTGTGTGTGTGTGTGTTTAGAACATGCGTATCCGCAGTGTTTTTGGAGAAACCTACTGCACCAAAAGTGGGAAGAAGTTCACTGGTCAGGTGATGGAGAAATTTATGATCATCGATTGTGAGGAGGTCATCGCGGGGTCATACAGGTGAGACCCATGCACACACACACACACGGGTGCACACACACACAGCAGCTCTTGAAAATCAAACCTCCCAAAATTGAAAAATCTGAATTAATTCTTGTTCAGCTGGTAAACACACCATCGTTCTCCCTGGTCCGTGAACTCACCGTTGCTAAGCACTTTTGCACACCTACAATATCAGATCCTCCATATGGACGTTTTTACTTACAGAATCAGAATTTCTCCATTTAGTAAACCGTAAAAGAACATTTGCTTTGTGGTAGGTCGGTTTCTGGGTGTTGTATTTCAGGTCTGGTTTTCCTGAGTCATTCTGTGTTTATTATTTCGCGTTTCTCTCTTTTTTGGGCTCCATGTAAATGCTCTCAGGCTGGTCCAAAGCTTCTGAATTACCTGGTGGAGAACTGCAGTGATGACTTGTGAGCGATCAGGAATCTTTCACCTGCTCGGCTCACTGACTGGTGCTTTGCATTCGGTCTTATAAGAGACAGACAAACTCTGATAAGTTTGCATATTTCTGAGTGGATCAGCAGCAGAACAAAGCTGATGTTGTTTTGGGTAAAAAGCTGCTGCTGACTAAAAGATTTACAGGAATACCAGAGTAGCACCTGCAGATACAGCAAGGACAACAGGAGGCTGTTCTTTGAGCCTCAATAAAGCATATGAACTTCTGTTGAGGCTCACAATGGCCCTGAAGCCCTGACTAATGGCCATACACAACCATACCGGTTAGGGCTGAACAATTCTGCAAAGTATTCTAATTGCAATTTTTTTCTTCAATATTGCAGATGTGATTTAATTCACAATTATTTTCTCAAGGGGCTTTTCTCATATTTTTCAACTAAAGGAAGCAAAAAAATTTATGTAACTTGAACTGAATATAAACAAGTTTATGTATCTACATATTTATCTACATATATCAACAAGTTTGTCTACATGTACGTAAACACTCACAAGCGTAGGCGTGGTGGTGCTTGAATTTCAGCCATGGCACAGCGACACCTACAAAGAGGAATTCAATTAAATTCAATTCAAGTTTATTTCTAAAGCGCCAAATCAGGACCAGAGTCGTCTCAAGGACCTTCACACAGTATACACTCCAATACAGGTCAGGTCATTAAGCCAATCAGTAAAAAGTTTCCTATATAAGGAACCCAGCAGGTTGCATCGAGTCACTGACTAGTGTCAGAGTCTTTACAGCAATCCCCATACTAAGCAAGCATGCAGCGACAGTAGAGAGGAAAACTCCCTTTTAACAGGAAGAAACCTCCAGATGATCCTGGCTCAGTATAAGCAGCCATCCACCATGACTCACTGGGGATGGAGAAGACAACACACACACACACACACACACACACACACACACACACACACACACACACACACACACACACACACACACACACACACACACACACACACACACACACACACACCAAGTAGTGTTTCTATGGTTACATTGTGATTTCGTAGTAAATATTCTATTTGGTGAGAGATGAACTTTATTGTATTTATCCTAGTGAATCTATAATTAAACGGGTAAACTAGTAGTAGCACATTCAATGTCAAAGAGAGTAAAATGTTATTGTCAGGAGAGGGAGAATGTTTAAATGGTTAGCAGCAATGTGCTAGCCGATGTCCCCCTCCATGAGGCTACCACAGCTCAGCAGAACATCATTGTAGCTTCTTCTGGGGTGAGGGAGATCCGTCTTTACCGACTGTCAAGGACATGTATATCAGCCCATAATCTCTGGTACTTTCTGTACTTTTCTCACGTGCTTTGCCTTAGCTGAGTTCATAATCTGTGCCCGGGTGATTTCAACTCATTGCTGCTGGAGCACAGCGCATATTAAGATCCCTTTGGCTGACTAGTTAGAAAGTAGGAAATCTAGGAAATGCAGCATGCGAGAGAGCGAAAGGGCAGTACATTATTCAAATAAATTCAAGAAAACAAAACAAAGTGCTTGTAAAGAAAAACAAGTACGTAGATTAATCCCCAATACACATGTTTACCAGTGAAAAGCAATAATATATAAGCATCTAATATTTATACATGTAGAGCTTCCGTAGTTCAGTTATGATAAATGAACTGCACTTGTATAGCGCCTTTCAGAGTCAGAGGACTCTGAAGCGCATTTACACTACAGTGTATCATTCATCCATTCACACACTGGTGGTGATGAGCTATGAGGTAGCAACAGCTGCACCTGTGCCCAGAGGTGTGGCTGCTTGGCTGGTCCCTCTGACCACCGCCAGCAGGCAAGGTGGGTTAAGTGTCTTGCCCAAGGACACAACAGCAGAATTATCTGTCGAGAGCCGGGATCGAACCTGCAACCTTCCAATTACTGGACAACCCGCTCAACCTGTTGAGCTACTGCTGGCTAATCCTAACCCAACATGTAATCATTTGGCACATTTCTAATTTGTAAGAATGTAATCGGCTTTGTTAGCATTAGCATCCCTATGGCTTTTTCCATGTATATTAGCATTGTGCTAATTACTCTCTGCCAGTCAAATCACAGCTTTTGCAGTTAGAAAATCTCCTTTTGTCACATCACAATTTGAATAAAAAATATGTGGGAGTGTAAATGCTGATAAGGGAAGGGGGCAGGAAAGAGGGGAAGAATATGAGACTTTCTCAGCATTGGCAGGAGCTTGGGCTAGCGCTAGCAGTAGCAGCATTACCCTTTCTGGTCTGATGGAGCTGCAGGAGGATTACCTGAAGCATCAAGGTGTGTTCAGGTATGAGGGTTGGGTCGGGCTGACAAACTTCAGGTGGCCCTGCTGACTCTGGAATCAAGGGCAAGTCCTGAACAGGTGCCAGTTGGGTTTTATCACACCTAACCACAGAACCTCTTGCTGCTCACAGTTGAGTGGAGGTAAATTGATTAGATAAAGATGAAAGCAGCTTTTATGGATTTACTGAACTTCAGTTACTGGAGATTATAAAACCCTAAGCTTTATAACACCGATTCCCAAACAGGCTATAAAAATGAACAGTTTTTATCTCATTCATTCAATTATTTATTTAACCAAGTCAGTAGATGATGACCCCTTTCTCTTTTACAACAGCCTGGCCAAGAGGCGGCAAGAGCAGAAAATATAAAATAAACAATTTCTAACTAGATAAAAACACATAAAACATTTACTAACAAACACCGTCGTCACACACAATCTAATCTGATTAACCAAGACTGTCTGAAGGCAGTCAGAAGCTCATTGTTCACAAATGACTGATTGTACTAGCTTGAGTTGTTGACTAGATGCTAGCTCAGATTAGATATTATTATAGACTAGCTGTTAGCTCAGACTAGATGCTAGCTCAGATTAGATTTGATCATAGACTAGCTGTTAGCTCAGATTAGCTGTTAGCTCAGACTAGACGCTAGCTCAGATTAGATTTTATCATAGATTAGCTGTTAGCTCATCTAGAACTCCGGCTCTCAGAGAGTACAGACGCTTTTTCTTCAGCTCCCTTATCTGCTTTTCCCAAGGCTTTCTGTCCTGTCTGCCTACAGAGCACTTCTCTGCATTTCTCCTGAAAATCACCACTTCTTTTTGGAAAATGGACTTAATTAACTGGTCATTCAATGCGATTGATAAGATTTTTTCTACGATGAGAACGGAGAAGGGGGCTCCCACCTGTCCTCAAGGGACATATGCAGCGGGATAAGCACTTGAATCGTGTGCCTCTCTCAGTTGTCCATCGAGGACGTGGAAGATTTGTGGATATTCGGCCTGATGATCACTGGATTTCTTCTGATTGGAGTGGGTGGATATCTGGTTTTCTGGAAATTTGGGAAGACGGGAGCGATTGGAGTGCGACCCGTACCCACGGAATGTGCCGCCCGTGCGGTGACCTCACAGACTGGGACGTTACTCGAGGTGAACCGTAAGCTGAACAATGTCCTCACGGCGTTGCCTGTGTTAGTGCGCAAGATGGATGTCATCTCGGAGAGGGTCGCCGGACGGTGTGGGGATGTTTAGAACGTATAATTGGCTTCACTGGTGGACATGAATGATCACTTAATAGACTCCAAGGCAGAGAGGAAAATTATCTCTGCCTGCCCTAAACAAAGTCTTGTTTATCCTTATCTGACGCCAAGGCAGCCTCCAAAGCTGCCATCAACAAACCCCCACGAAAGGAGGAACAGACAGATGCTGTGACCCGAAACCCCCCCCCCCCCCCCCCCCCGGCTTCAGATTGTGACTTCTGCTTCGAGGTCATCAACCTGCAGGAAACTCAATGTGCTCTCTGGCCCTCCTTTCTCCCTCCCACCTGTTTGACTGCAGCTGTGAGCGCCGTACACTGGCAGCTCCCGTTGGAGGATTCAGGCTCCCCCCGCCTCTCTATCGGAGTCTGATGTTGTAACTGTGATGTTCGTGCTTCTATGTATGTTGAGGAGTTTTTTGTATAGTAGAGCTACTCCCTGCTGGGACTAACTCTGGTATGCCTTTTTTACCTTACCCCAATTATCCTCATGTAACACCCTTTTCATCTACTGAAATGAGCGCCGTTCTGGCTGCTCTCGTGGACTGCCTGTACCTGTTTTGTCTACGTGTGTGTGTTTAACCATGGTCAGGGTGTGTTTGCGGAGTCAAGTTCCTATGCTCTGGGTCGCTGGAGTGCTGGCAATAAAGCTTATTCTGATTCTGATTCTGAGATTAGCTGTTAGCTCAGACTAGATGCTAACACAGTTTAGATTTTATTTTAGACTAGCTATTAGCGCAGATTAGCTTTTAGCTTTTACTAGATGCTAGCTCAGATTAGATTTTATCTTTGACTAGCTGTTATCTCAGACTATCTGTCAGCTCATATTTCACATTTATCTGAACAGAGG